CAGGGCATCCAGCAGCCACTTGGCCTGGGTGATGATCTTGAATCCCAAATCTTCAATGTCAAAGGGGATGTCCTCTGGGATTTCAGGAACATAGGTTGTGAGGTTGCAGGTCGTCTTCACGCTACCTTCTTCGAGGATGATGCTGAAGGGGTCACCTTCGGCATTGTAGGATAGCGAACAAGTGCCGTTGCTCATGCCGAGGGTCTGGTTGGAGAAGGCGTCGGAGCGGTAGTTGCGGAGGTTGGTGCTGCGGTAGGGGTCAATGTCTGATCTGGCCTGGCGGGCGGCTGCGTCGGCGGCGCCAAAGATCTGAAGGGTTTCCAAGAGGGCGGGTAGAGATAGTTGAAATATGACCGAGGGGGGAGGGGCATCATCTTCGTCGTCGGGGTTGCCGTTGGATTCTTCGGGGGCGGGAATATTTGTGGTATACGAGGTAAAGAGAGATTTGTCCCAATGGGTGACGCCTTGCATCACTCTGGCGTGGTCGGTCGAGAAGCGGATTCCTTTCTCGGTGATCTCGACGTGGACTTTATTGGTGAAATTGATCGCTTTGAGTAGCTGATAGAGAAGTCTGGTTGAGCTGGTGACGGCTCGGAAGATAGGGGGGTCTGGTGCGTCCATCTTGGTCGGTGGGGGTGGTGGAAATGAGGAATGTCAAACAGGAATCGAATTGCTTTTGTGGGAAGGAAAGAATTATGGTACAGATTTCGAGGGTATCTTAAACGTAGACCCCGACCGCACAGAACATGTAAACCACACCAACCCTTTTGGATGTTAGAACGAATATCCCTATGGATCTGGACCAGGTGGGTGGAAAACGTACGCAAGCGACAACGACGCAGGCACAGCCAAAGTTGGGAGGCTCACTACAGACCGGTCTGTCGCAATGTCAGGGTTAGCAAGATGGTTTGCGCGGAGGAGGTGCGCGTGCAAGCATACTCAGAGCGAACGCGCCACTGAGGCCAAAGCCCAGGACCAGGAGAATGAAGGCCAAGAGAAACTGGTTGTCCTTGCCGATGGCGGGGGTGAACGGCGAGCCGGACGCAGCCTGCCAGACCTCGTGCAGTGAAGAATCCATGTGCTGTAATGGTGCTGGAGATGTGGTAGTAGACAGATGAAGGATGCAGAGTTGGTGATTGCCTGTACGGATAGGCTGTCGGTGCCAGCAGCTCTGGGACAGCTTCACTGGACGTGAAGCTGAAGCTCAAGAACGGGAACGTGTTCGAACCCCGAAACGGACTAGTGCCATTCTCCACAGGCAGCGGCCCCCTGTCGGTGGGGCAGCCCTGCAGTCGCAGCCGGGGCCAGGCGCCGCAGCAAGTGGCAGCTTCGAGAACCGAGATCCACTTCTCTCCGCATCATCATCGGAGCCATCGTCAATCGGTAACGCGACAACTTCCATCAATCCCCGGCGCTTGCCATCGAAATGAATGGCGCCAGAAGCTTGACAGCTTGAGCCGTCGCCCATATACAGCCCTCACTCGCTTTCATCCCGGAATCGCCGCGCGCAACATGGCTAAGGACACGAAGCGCAAAGCGACCGACGAGCCGACCTCTCCCACGGCGGCGAAGCGCGTCAAGGTCGACGAGTCAGTCGAGCCCGAGAAGAAGCCCCTCAAGGTTCCGGCAATCCCCTTTCCGGAAAAGGTATTTTCACTATTTGCTTTTTGTGTTCCTGCCTGTCCTGGGGCTGTCTACATGCCATAAGAAATATGCTAACTGACCCCTCAGCCAGCCGTAATCGAAGAGCGCAATGGCGAGATCGAGTTCCGAGTGGTCAACAACGACAACGAGCGCGAGAGTCTTATTATCCTTACCGGCCTGAAATGTATCTTCCAGAAGCAGCTCCCGAAAATGCCCAAGGACTACATTGCGCGCCTCGTGTACGACCGAACCCATTTGTCGATAGCCATTGTGAAGAAACCTTTGGAAGTGGTAGGAGGCATCACGTACCGGCCGTTCAAGGGCCGCAAGTTTGCCGAAATCGTATTCTGCGCCATCTCTTCGGATCAACAAGTCAAAGGCTACGGCGCGCATTTGATGTCTCATCTTAAAGATTATGTGAAGGCGACCTCTGATGTGATGCACTTCCTGACCTACGCTGATAACTATGCTATTGGCTATTTTAAGAAACAAGGGTTTACGAAGGAAATCACGCTCGACAAGTCAATATGGATGGGTTATATCAAGGACTATGAAGGGGGTACCATCATGCAGTGCACCATGCTGCCGCGCATCCGGTACTTGGAGATGGGTCGCATGCTGCTCAAGCAAAAAGAATGTGTCCAGGCTAAGATTCGGGCCTACTCAAAGTCACACATCATTCACCAACCACCAAAGCAATGGCAGAAGAACGGCGTTGCCCCGATAGACCCCTTGTCGATAGAAGCCATCCGCGCCAGCGGTTGGTCTCCCGACATGGACGAACTTGCCCGCCAGCCCCGCCACGGTCCGAACTACAACCAGCTTTTGCACCTCCTCAACGATCTCCAGAACCACCAGTCTGCCTGGCCGTTTTTGATGCCCGTCAATAGAGATGAGGTGGCAGATTACTACGACGTGATCAAGGAGCCGATGGACCTCTCGACAATGGAGACCAAGCTCGAGGCCGACCAGTACGCCACGCCGGAGGACTTCATCAAGGACGCCAAGCTGGTGTTTGACAACTGCAGGAAATACAACAACGAGACGACCCCGTACGCCAAGTGCGCGAACAAGCTGGAGAAGTTCATGTGGGCGCAGATCCGTGCTATCCCGGAGTGGTCACATCTCGAGTCTTAGTTGGGCGCGAAGCCACAGAAGCAGCAAAAGCCAAAGCGTGGGAGGGGTCGCCCACCGACAAGGGTTAGTTCGAGGAACAGTACTGTTGCGGCTCGGGCAGCGTCGGCATCGGCATCTTCACAGCAGCAGCAGCAGCAGCAGCAGCAAGAGGGTCAGCAGCAGCAGTTGGGGCAGTAGCCGGAACAACAGCCGGAGCAACAGCCACCTCGAGAGAACCGTCTGCCCAAAGATGTCGACGGAGATGTCGCAATGTGCGATGCAAGTCTGAAGGCGTTGGAGCTCAGTAATGCGGATGAGAAGCAAGGGGAGCAGCAGTCAGCGGTGTAGGATACCAAGCGTCGCTCTACGCGTCAACGGAAAGTTGCCAGGAGATAGGCGTCTTGAGCAAATCAGTGACCCATTTATCAGCATTATTTAAGGAGCTTGGGGGTTCAGGGTTGTGTTATGTCTTTGGCGTTTTATTTGCTGGGTGGTTGGGGCAGGATATCTATTTCTTTTTTGTGCGGTTATCAGGGTCAGGCTTTGGGTAGGTATAGGGTGGCAAATGTGTGTGTATGTATGTCTGGAGAATTTTGTTTTGGTAAGGGCACATGGTATTGAGATGCTATGAATTGTCTTTGTTTTGCGAGGTGTTATCTGCTCTAGTTGTTTGTTTATAGGAAACACATCAAGATAAATATGTACAGTGCAACACCCAAGCTGGGGGGCTATTTCTGTCCCGCCTCCCAACTGCGTGCCGGGAAGGAGATGGACAACAAATGGAAGAGTGCTGTTTGGAATACGACCATACATCAAAGATACCTAATTGATGGGCCTTAGCCCTAGCCTCACCCTCCGCCGTGATCTCGATTAAAGAGCCCTGATGGATCAGAAACAAATTAGCCCGAAAAGAGAAAAAAGACCCCAGAAATCGTAGTCCAACACCAACTCAGTAAAAGAGTTGTCAATATCCATCTTCCTGCTGGATGAACAGTTATCCTCGGAAATATGCACAACCGGCTAAATATGGTCCGTGCGGCGGCTGTCATACAGAGATGAAGCACAACGAGAAGGGTTTATGCAAGAAAAATCTTAATTATGCACCCTGCATAAACCTCCTCTCCCAGCAACCAGACACTTGGAGCCCAGCGGTGAAAACAAAACACCACATGAGACGAAATAGATAACATAAACCGACATATATCACCATACTCATCATGTACAGAGTGTGAGTGAGTATCAAGCATTACAACAGCGAGTACGGTAAAAGCCCCAGATAGATACAAAAGGGGACAGGTGTATATATATACAAACTAACAACCACCCCCTTTTTGCCTGCCGTGTGCTGGCCAAAAATTCTCTATGTACAACGAAAGCAACCCCCCTCCCTCCCCTATCTCAAACACCAAGTGTTGAGATGAATGCAGAATAAAGTTAGATATAATGATGATGATGATGATGATGACAATGACAATGACCAACTTCTAAAAACATTGCAAAAACGACACACACAAACATAAACAGAAAACAATCCAAAAAAATAAAAATAAAAAAGACAAAACACCATCATGCCCACCTTTCCCCGTCACCCTCCAAAAAGGAAAAATGTTTGATAGTATTCCCCGTAATAAAAAAAAACCGCTACACCTTATCTCTTTAATGCAGCCCATGCCTATCCCTCACCCTCCCCCAAACCACCCCTGAGATTTTATACAGCAAAAAACGAAAGACAACCACGCGCAATTTTTTTCGACAAACAATGTGTACGGAAAACAAACCCCCTTCCCCCCGCCTCCCTCAAAAAAAAAACCGGTTTCCAGGAACGCCAGCCAAGACGAGAAAAAGAATTCCATAGATAGATTATGTAATGGCCCTGGGTATCGAAAACGTGCTTTTTTTTCTTTCTTCTCTTCTCTCCCCCATTTCTCTTCCTCCTTTGTCAGTACAAATATGTGTGTACGTGTATGTATGTATGCACGGAAATGTTGCTCTCTGCTCCGGTCCTGCCTGAAGCAGACTGACCAAGGAACTCTCCTCAGCCCGCAAAAAGAAAAGATCGGGATGCTGAAAAGCGAGCATCATCTCGGCATGTCACAAAGGGGGATAACTCCGCTTCGTCGTCGTCGTCGTCCGTCATCTCCGTGAGAAAAACTCACACTCATTGGTGCTTGAACGCAAGGTCACCGGTCGAGAAGAGCTCAAAATGGACGCGCTGGGTCAGCACGCCCTGGCTCTTGAGGTAATCCGACATCTCCAGCATGAACTGCTCGGGACCGCAGATGAAGTACTCGGTGCCGCCGTGGTTGAGGTGGAGGTCGTCGGGGTTGACCTTGGCGAGGTCCATGCGGAAGTCGTAGTTGTAGTTTACCCCCACCACGTCGCTCCCGGCAAGGTGTGTCTTGAAGATGTTGGTGTGGAAGTTGGGGTTGGTGCGTCTCAGGTGTGTGATGTGCTCCTCAAACGGTACCGATTTCCTGGAGCCGTGGATCCACGAGATTGGCCTGTTGGGTTGTGTCGCAACGACTTCGTTGGCAATGGCGACCATGGGCGCAACACCGACACCGGCCGAGATGAGGACGATGGGGACGTTGCTGGAGTTGTTGGTGTCGAGGAAGAACTCGCCGGCGGGGTGAGAAACGTCGACCATGGTGCCAGCGGGCATCGAGTCGATCAAGAGGTTGGACACAACACCAGGATGAAAGTACGATTGTGAAACCGAGTTGGAATACCTGGCGCCTTCATCCCTCTTGACCGTAATGCGGTAGTAGTCAGGCTTCCACGCCTCACTGAGCGAGTACTGTCTTGACTGGAGATAGCCCTCCGGGCCGTTCACCCGCAAAGAGATGTACTGTCCTGGGAAGAACTTGGGCAACTTCTTGCCGTCCTGTGGCACGAGATAGAAGGAGTAGATATCCTCCGTCTCTGGCACCACCCGGTCAATCTTGAACTTGCGCCATGAGCTCCACGACTCAAAGTCTCTGTAAAGCTGCGCCTCCCGCCCAATGAGCATCTTGGCCAACAACCAGTACGCCTTCTCCCAAGCCGAGTGCACCTGCGGTGTCATTGCTGGGCCAAGCACCTCGGTGAAGGCCATGATCAGGTATTTGCCGACAATCTCGTAGTGTTCAGGCTGGATACCGAGAGAGCAGTGCTTGTTGCACATGCGCTCAAACTTGGGGATCAGCTCGCTGATGTGGTTGATGTTGGAGGCGAAGCTGAGGATGACAGAGGTCAAGGCACGCGGTTGCCGGCCATTCTTCTGGTTGACGCTGTTGAAGTAGTTGTTCAACTCCGGGTGGTCGCGAAGCATGTTCTTGTAGAAGATGGTCGTGATCTTCTCACCGTGCTCTCGGAGGGCCGGGATGGTGTCCTTGACCAGTTTTGATTGTTGATATGTGAGCGCCATTTTGAGCCAAATTGCTGCTGTCTGACGGCGTTTTGTGGGTGTTTGTGAGTATACCTCCCCTATCGAATGTGTCCCTTGGACTTATTACCACTCGGGATGATGATGGTGATGTCGAGGTGGAAGTTGGTCAACCGATAAATCGAGAAAACGAACGAACGGATGGACGGGGCGAGAAACCGGCGTGGGTGCCAAGCTGCTGCTGCTATTCTCTTGCTTGGCCTACAAATACTACAGAGCTGCTACTGTGTGAAAGACCAGCGGTCCTGCGGGCGCCGTGATGGGACATGGTGTTGACTATATACCACACAGGGTGAAACCGAAAAAGTGGAAATTGATGTTTTTTTTTTTCAAGGGCGCGGCGAGTCATAGTCCGGCCTAGGTCAGCTAGCTCGTACGATAGTCGCGGCTCGCAAGGATGAACCAGAAGATTACCAGATTGACATGTGTGCGCGAAGCGCTGTTTGGAAAAGTCTTTCCGTGTTGCGAGGGTCCCATCGCTGCCACTCGAGGCTGCCATGTGTCGTGCAGGGGGTGCTCCAGTCCCACGAGTTCCACTGCCGACACAACTTGGCGATGGCTTCAGCCTTGCGGGTCTGTGCCATGCCTGTCACAGGAGCCCATGGTCGCGTGGTTCTGTGCGGATTTTCGGACGCCACGCTCTTTCTGCTGCTCGAGAAGTCACCCATACGGGACTATTTGGAAATACACAATCTCCCAGCACGACGGAGCAGAACCGTCTCCCACCTAGTGCCGGCTATTCATGAGGGACCTAGTGATATTATCCCACAAATATATTGCCATAGTTTCCACTCTCCGCTCTGCCAAGAGGTCGATTGCTGGCTAGGCCACTGTGTCGTCGGGCTTGCTGCCGTTTTGTGCGGTTTTTCGAGGTTAATTTTTCTCCGAGCCCACCGGAATGGAATCGACGTCATCGGGATATGGGAACAGACAGGGATGGTGAATGGAATTTTGTCGATAGAGACAAATGAAGGGTTGACAGCAACGAGAGCCCGCTGTCACTGTCAGATTGCTGTCATATCCCCATCAAAAGAGTTGCACCGTGGCCATGGCTTGAGCCCGATAAATTCCGACGAACCATGGCGTAAAGTTTGACGCCAGCTCAATAGACGAAAGCGCTCTTCTCGTGTTGTTCAGGCAATCTCCAAGGGTCCTGGATGGAATGGCTCGAGTCGGGGTGCGGCGGTTCGGCAGAAAATCTAGAAGGACACAAATCGAAAGATATCAATGGAGAGACTGGACACGGGAGTTCAGGTACCCCTGCTGTCGCCTCACCCATCACCCACCGAGACCCTGGTCCATCATGGGGACGTCGCTTCGGCAATCCGCTATCGTATGACTTCGCCTGAAGCCTCGGTCATGGCTGTTTCTTTTGCTGAGGAAGACGTCGGCGCGAAACCTAGCGAAAGCCATGCAACTTGGCGGCTCCAGTTGCAAATCTCCAAAGAGATGAGCATCAAACGAGGTGTCAAGTCTCCATTTCTGTCAAAAAAGGAAAGCCGCGGGAAGCCACGCATGGCATGACGGATCGTTCCGTTCGGGCCTGATTGACGTTGCGGTTGGAGGGCTGGTGAGCTACGCCATGGCAAATCGTTCGAGAAGACGGTTCGAAGAGGCTAACGCAGACATGGTGAAACGTTGAATTGAGGGGAGAAGCGGTCAGCGGATTGCTGAAGACAGTTTGGCGCGTCAGCTAAGCATCATCAGCCTCCACACACAGGAGCCACTCTTTGCCCACTGTGCCAATGACCCTAACCCCCATCTGGCGACATGTTCACATCACCATCAGCCATTTCTGAAGGAATTCGTGACCATCTACTGAGATTCTCTCTCCACCAGAGATTCTTGCCGTCTTTCCGATCGCCGATTCGTGGCTTCTAGCTGTACCGGTATTCGTAAAAAAGCAAATTGCTACGGATGAGGGTCCACTGTCGGGAATGAATAAATAGAAGGCTATCTGCAGATCCCCCGATTCGAACGGCTGGGAACAACGTTAAACCACTCATCATGGCGCTGTGGGGATATGGATATCAGCAAGAAAAAAATGTCTGTTCGTGTTCCGCCCGTTGTGTAGTGTGCGGTGCCGTCCCGTCCGGAGACGGAGCTCCGGAGGTTGTCGTCAAGGCAAAGAGATCGGCGACCCGGCGGGTCTTCCCGAAAGCACCGATTCTTGGCCCGCACCGACACAACCCGAGTCCCTTTTGGGGAACCTTCCTCCTACCGTTGATTAGCGCGCTCGTCGCAGCTACGCCAAACCCCATGCTAAAGGAACCATCAGCACAAACCTATGCCAGGACCGGACATTGCTGCTGTTGCTGCTGGCGCCGCTTCTTTTGCTCCGGCTGGCTCTCTTTGGGTGCAAAAGGAGCATCCATACGAAGGCCGATAGTTCATGCTTATCAAGAGCAGCATGTTACAGTAGGCCGCTGAGTCATGATGAAACTCGGCCGTTGAGGTATTGGTGTTGATAATAGGACATAGGAAAGGCAAGGGCCGCCGCGGGATATTGAAAGGGGCATCTTGGAGGGCACCATGGCTCGTGCGGGTTGCCTGAAATACTGAAATAGCAATTCCATCGCAACTCGAGCCGGCGCAAAGAATGGGGGTTTCTTACGTACGGTCGCATGTCGGAGCCGGAAGGCGCAACCTGCATGCCGGATGGCCCCCCTGGACCGGGCACGCTGCGGAAGATGAGCCTGGTTTCGGAAGATTTCCAGGAGGGCTGACCTGCCTTTTAATTCCCTTGATCAACTCGCAACGAGCTCACGGAGATGCCGAACGCGGTTACGTTACCCGGCATGCAGAAGCGGGGGATCCGGGCTTGGCGACCAAACCCCTCCATAGAAAGAACATTTCAGCAATGTCTCGCGAAAATATCAGAGAACGGGGGAACGAGGTTCGCGATGGCCATGTCTCAACAGGAATCGAGGATATCGAACTGCGATATGGTGGGACAGAGAATACAGCTGCCGAGAAGGTGTGTACCACAAGATAAGTGGTCAGCGCGGGAATCATGGCGGGAGCGGCTTCAAATCTTTCCGGTGGTGTAGACAATGTCTATGTGGTGGGTAGGACAGCATCCGGCCCAAGCCGCGAGCCGGCTGTTTCTCTCCTGTCCTACCTCACACTTGCCATGGCTCGAGGGGCAGAATCTCCTCCATTCACAACAGACTGGTGATCGATGTGATGGTGGTAGAAAGTAACCCAGCCTGTTGGCTTCAAGCCAATAGGCGCGGATACAGCGAGCCAGTCGCGATCTGGACCAACTGGGGACCTGGTTCGGGATTTATCAAGGTGCATCTCGTGCAGGTTGACTTGTCACCTTGAGATGTACGCCGCTCGATCGGGACGCTTTGTGATAGAAGGACGCTGCTGAGAATCACACCCCTCTAGCTGCTTTCTCGACTTGCTGCAGCTATAGCTCCGCTCTCTGCCACTTTCGACATCAACTGTGCGAGCGGGGTGCCCGAACCACTGGCCGGCGTCATTCTACCATCAGTCAACATCATGTTGTGTGCTGAGACCACTTTAGGCCACGCGCCCAGATATCTACTACCCCTCGGCCCTTCCTCAAGAGGAAAACCCGTCGCTGCTCCAAAATCCAATGCTCCCTCGAGCTTTCCCCACATCGAAGTGATCGGCGTTTAGCTGGGCGGTCTCGAATCTGCATCTCGATGCCGTAGCAGTGAGAGGAGGCAACCACGTTTGATATTGCGTGCTACTGCGGTTCTTGATATGGTTCAGGCCCCGTTCTATTGGACTTGGGTGAGTGGGTAGGGTTGGATCTGAAGTTGACCGGTCCAGGGCCATCTCACCGGTTGCATGACACGGCGTTGTTAGCTGCACCGTATCCTGGGGTTGTGCCGGTTCGGACTTGAATCTGAGGCTTGAGGATCGAGTTGAGCTAGCAGATAGGGGCCGAGAGGGGAATCTGAAAGAGGAGGGTGATTGATCATCAGAACTGGCGTATGATGTGTACCTATGTGTATCAGATAGACTCGCCCTAAGATGTGGTCTAATGCAGGGACTTGAGAGGCTTGAGAGCCTATATAACAGTCTCCGTTTGTCATTGTTGCCTCGACTTCACATTCCTCCAAAGATAAGCGAGACAACTGCTTGCGACACAAAGCCTCCAGCAGACACACTCTCGGAAGCCCCCACAGACCCTCAAGAGAACAACACCCCAAGAACGCGTCATAAAGCCACAGAAAATGGCCTCCCTCCTCCCCAGAACTGCATCCAGAGCGGCCAGATCCATGACCTTGCGACCTGCCACCTCACTCCCCAGAAACAACCCACTTCATGGGCCCCGTCACACCACCACCATCCCCCTTCCCAACACCACCCGACCCTTCTCCTCCTCCAACCCCTCCAAACCGACCTAACCCAACCCCCTTACTCCCCGCCGTTCAAAGACCTCTTCTCCCTCCAAAACCACATCATCCTCATCACCGGCGGCGCCCGCGGCCTAGGCCTAACCCAAGCCGCAGCCCTCCTCTCCGCCGGCGCCAAAGTCCACGCCCTCGACCTCCTCCCCCCAACCCCCGAGTTCCTCTCCGTCCAGCAGTCCTTCCCCTCCGGCGCCCTAACCGCCCACCAAGTCGACGTGCGCGACCAATCCGCCCTGGCGACCATCGTCGGCGGCATCGCAGAAAAGGAAGGGAAAATCAACGGCCTGGTCGCCGCGGCGGGGATACAACAAGAGACGCCCGCGCTCGAGTACAAAAAGGAAGATGTCGACAAGATGATGGGGGTGAACGTCACGGGCGTGTTCATGACCGCGCAGGCGGTGGCGAGGGAGATGATTGCACGAAAGCAGAGGGGGAGTTTGGTGCTCGTGGGCAGCATGAGTGGGACGGTGGCGAATAGGGGGTTGATTTGCCCGTGAGTTTTTATTCCCTCTTTTCTTATGAGCATGCTTGGGGATGCTAATGAGATGATCATGAATAGGGCGTATAACGCCTCCAAGGCTGCGGTCTTGCAGCTTGCGAGAAACCTCGCCGCGGAGTGGGGCGAGCACGGCATCAGAGTTAACTCGCTTTCGCCCGGGTACATCGTCACGGATATGACGGCAGGCTTGTTCGACGCCTTTCCCGAACGGAGGACCGCCTGGCCGGATGCCAACATGTTGAAGCGACTGAGCTATCCGGAAGAGTACAGAGGCGCGGCCATCTTTTTGCTCAGCGAGGCAAGCAGCTTTATGACGGGGGCTGACTTGAGAGTGGACGGAGGGCACTGTGCTTGGTAAACTTGAGCTGGGGGTTGAGTTCAAAGATGGGTATCGTATGGTATTTGTACAGGAAGAGACGTCCTATCTCTTCGTTCTTCCTTTGGTTTCTAGTCTTACAAGAGGGAGTTCCAAGGGTCTGATAGCCTACGCCGGCAGGAGCAGGACTTGGTATAAGAAGTTGCTTTCTTGTCCCTTTTTACTTGCTTATGCTCATGAGGCGATGGAGAGAAAGTCCCTTCCGAGCTTAGCCACGACCCCCTTTTTCAGCCCTAGTTGTTTCTCAATCGCCTGGTCTGACTCGCCCTGTTCACTCAGGACGAAGATCTTCTTAATGGTGCCGATATCCAAGAGCTCCTTCCCTTGATGAGTAGACTTGCCCCAGTCCTCCATCTCCCGCTTTGCCTGTTCCTCTAGCCGCCTGCGGTTTTCCAGCGCTCCAAGAGTAGGGTTGTTCTTCGCCGAGGGAAACAGGGGGCCGGAGATGGACTGGGAAATGCCTGAAGCGTCGACTAGCGGCGATGCTATTGAGGAGGGGGAGTATGTTGGGTTAGGCTGGACAGCGCCCATTTGTTTGAGGCGCGAGGCAAAAGCGGTGGATGGGTAGTCTGAGGGGGTCTTGTCTGGGTTTGCGGAGTAGGAATCTTGTTTCGAAGATGGAGAGGGTCGACCGGCGGCTTTGGGTAGGTTGTTAGCACATAATGTTGGTTGGATATCGGTTGGAAAGGCAGTACTAACACTCATTCTTCGTGACAGAGGGCCGTGGCGCAAGTTGAGTTGTGGACTTTGGGGGTACAGCCTGTGCTTGCGCTCGAGATGCTGGAGATGGCGCTGGTGGTGTTGTTGATTCTGGAGTTGCATTTCTCACAGCTGTGAGAGATGAGGGGGTCGCTGATCCTGGAGCTCTGGTCGGAAACTTGCGCACAGCATTCTGTGCTGGTTTGGAGCTTGCGCCGCCCATTTTGAAGCCGATATCTTCAGGGAAATATCGTGCTTGGAGAGAGTCAAAGTTCGCAACTTTTCCGTTTTGCGATTGGCGATGGGGTGCAACGTCATTGATGACAGAAAGAGCTTCAGCCACAGTCTATTTAGTGCATGTGGCTGATTTTTGAGCTCTCGCCACCTCCTTAGGTAAAAAAGGGGTAATCACCACCATCATCACCTTGCATCCAAATTAGATGTGAGCTAGGTCAATGCTTTTTGAAATGATGATGAGTGCGTTGCACATTCTATTTGAGTTATATTACTATAGTTCGTCTACGAAGCTAACTATCCGAGTCAAAGCCCTCTAAATGTGCGTATGTCTAAAGGTACCTACGGTACCCCATGCGTCTTCGTTACAGACGAAATGGGCTTGAGTAATTGATGTTGATTTTGAAATCTTCGTTATAAAATCTCGTTATCTCAACGACGTTCTTACTTTCCACTCTCTGTGCCACCAGAGCTGGAAGGGACGGTTCCTGTCACCCTGTCGGTTGCCTAAGCTGCCCTCTACCCCCTCCACTCTCACTCCAGTGAACATGTTTAGCGCAATAAGATTGGATTCACCATCGAAATAATTGTCAAAATTCGCAGGCCCAGCCGCACCCTGGAGACATAATAACTGTCAGTAATTCTTTTGTCCAGGGCGTGGGCTGTAAAACGCACCAGCAAGGACAGGACATGACCATGCTGTAGCCATGACAGTGACGAAGGTATCAACCACCCTTGTACAGGATTCATTTCGATGTATTCTGCCGTGGCGGCCGCCAGCGGTCGTCGTTCTTCGGCATTATTCGAAACAATTGGCCCCAGACTACCGTAAAAGGTTGTTACGGTGAGCTGAAATAAAAGGCAGCTTATCAGGCAGCAATGTGCCTTCGATCCACGAATCAACGCAACAACCACGGCCTCATAGTCTTCTTTTCAAACAAACGCGTCAAATCACCTGTGTCTGCCCTACATGCGGGAAGACGTGGCGGTGATATGTCCTCGCCTCCCTCCCCACGGTAGGTCTGCAGCCACCCCCGGAGCATCGCCAGATCCGGCCAGTTGCAGCGAGCGAAATAGCATTCTCGACAGATTCTTTGTTTAATCACCAATCCTTCTCGCGTCTCGGCGTGTCTCGATAGCCGCCAATGGCTTCCGGAGGGAGAACCAACAGCCGATCTGCAGAAATATGCATGTTGGCCCAGAACATCAACCAACAGCACACGTGGGTTTGCTGTTGTTGTACCGGTACCAGTACTGGTACATCTCCCACCTGATCACGGATACGCATAGCACTTGAAATTACAGACAAGTAACAGACAAGCAAGCACACCACAACCCCATACAATCTTCGACTCATGGCACCACACCCTCTGTATCGAACCGATTCGTCAGCCGTTCCTGCAAGCCAGAGCATGCTACATGCATCAAGGGGCCAGACCGTGATCTCATCTCCTAGGGCTGCGTCTTGGTTGTCTATCATCTCCGCCTGGGCGGCGGAATTCATCTCCACGTCGGCAACCCTCCTCCATGGCTCTGGCCCATAGCCATGGACTATTGGACAGCAGCAACAGGAGATCAACATGGAACAGGAAAAGTCTCCGGGCCGCTATTAGTGATCAGGGTGAATGATGGGGCGAGGACGCCCATCTTCCAGCCTCGAGGAACCCAGACGCAAAAGTCATTTTTGGAACTTTGCCATACTGTGCAGATACAACACAGGGAACACAGTGCTGATGTGCTGTGAAATTGCGACGTGGTTGTTCTCAGCACCATCACTCGGCCACCTTCACGAGACCCCAAGCTCGTAGCTGTTTCAAATATCACTCGTCGAACCAGGGGTACAAGGCGATGAAAGATGGTAGCCGCGAGAACCAAGTGCGGCGGAGGGGAGCACCATCAAACTGTGCCAGGTATTATTTCGGGTACCAAACTCCAGGATGGTCGACTGCTGCCCCCCTCACAGATCAACGGCTTTGACCGGTCGGGGAGATCGGCGAGGAACTTGTGACGAACCTTGTTAGCATAGCAGCCGAGACGTTACGGATACTGGAAGTAATAAGTTCCTATGTGCAGACCACTGCAGTCCAACCAGGCAGCCTGAAGGGTCTTCAAGATAGTGCGAAGGGTGGCGGTGACGAGAAAAGTAGAATAAAACCATTGCTCCTGGATATCAGGCCTCCACCAGAGTGCCCAAAAAGGATATATCTTGATGGAAACAAGAAGGCGGCCGCAGTAATTAACTGATCTCCGTACGAGCAGACCACTTGGATATGCGCGACGTGGTGAAAGATTGCCTGCTGAATTCAGAAGTCCTCGGAAATTAATTGCCATGATGCCTTTGAGTTTTGCCAAACGTGAACATGATAGCTATTTCGACGAAAGGGCTGTTGATAAGGCGCAACGCGCCCAACGTCAAGACGGTTTTGGGTGACGGAAGAGCGGTAATCCACAGAGCAATTGCGCCATGGCTAACGATCGCCGTCACCGGCCGCTAATTGTATAAGACGATTGAATAGCTTCCTGTTCGGGAAGAGTAGGAAAAGAAACGAAGCTAATGGATACCCACTTCAGCCTTGCGGGGAGGTTGAAGTCCGAAGCCAAAGATCTCATATGAACCCCTGGCAATCCAGTCAGCTCTCTCTCTCTCTCTCTATGTCTGTGTTCTATTGTCACTGCAGGTAAATCTAGGTGGCGTTACAAAAGGTGGACGGGAAGACATTGATATCAATCAGGGTTAGGGTTGTGAACCAAACCACCCTATCCCAACATCATCACCACCTAGAACATGGATTGACTTGGATTGGGCAAGTGACCTGATGCAGGAGGGATCCTTGGCAAAGACTCGGCGTGGAGGCACAATGGCCTTCTTGTCCCACCAATGTCGTTGACGACTGCTGTGTTTCTCTGGGTAGCCGTGTGCCAGGAATGTGTTGTCTGAGATGGGCAGTGATACGCACCACAGATTAAATGTCAACGACGAGAACGACTCTTGGAGTGATTGACATGGCGACATGCAGGGCCCATTGCTGCACACGTGGAGGGGAGCAACCGAGTCATCCTGTTGTCGAGATGAGGCCAGCTGGCGGCCAATCAGATGTTCAGATCAATCCCCGCACTTTTTGAAAATCTGTGCTGAAGCTCCCCCCGCTCGTTTTGAGTCCCCGCCCATACAAGGAAAGGTTTGGCGGCCAAAGACTGACCAGCCTTCCGTAAATCGGCTTTTTCACCTCCAGAACTCGCACATCGCAACGCGCGAGACCGGACCACCTAGACCACCCGTCTGCCCGTATACGTAGTCTTGTTACTTGCCGCGGCCATCAGCCTATCTGGATACGTCCCGTTCCGTCACGGCCGATTGGGAGCCCACGAGCCCACACACGTCTGATCGCCTGATTACACCGACATTGGCCCCCCCCCCCACCACCACCCGAGACCACCCGGAACACCACTGCCTGCCTTGCTACTTGCTATCGAGGCCTTGGGTCGCCTTAAGTGAAGTTGGATTGGGCCGACATCGACCAGACCTGATCTGCCGGCAGCATGGAAAGCCCCGAGTTTGCGGCTGGCATGCGGAGCCATGGCGCGAACGGCGCTGGTCCTCACAAGCGGAAACGGAGCATCATCGACAGCAGCCCAGCTAGTCTGCTGGACAACGACCACGACGACCAAGACGACGACCACCATGTCACCGAGCGTGGTGATGCCTCCCCCGAGGCCAAGGGCCGCCGCCTACCCGGTGTCAAGCGTGCCTGTAATGAGTGCCGCCAGCAGAAGGTGAGAACAGCATCTCGCTTACTTTCATCCCCAGGCCCAGGGTCTTCTGAGTCATCATCCCATCCACATCCAACCGTCAACCCGGACCCGGTGCCGAGTCTGGCCCCGAGTCCACTTGTCTATATGCCCCTAGATTATACTCTGGCTGCCGGCCGGCCGTCTCCGTTCTCCGGCCCGGTCTCCGGAGCGCACCCTCCCGTCATCTGTTTGGCGTTTTGTGTCTAGTAGTAGTTTGCTGTTCGTTCTCGACTAACCTCTGTATCCGTATTCTCCCCCGTCCAGCTGCGCTGCGATGTCGTCCAGGATCCCTTTCAAGGCTGCTCCAGGTGCAACCGCCTCAAACTCGAGTGCAAGATCGAGTCCAACTTCAAACGCATTGGCAAAAGGTCGAAGCATGCCGAGATGGAGAAGGAGATCGATAAGCTACGTCGTGCCGTGCAGGCGGCTAAGGCCCAGGGCTTTACGGTTGAGGAAGATGATGAGGCTATCCACTCGCAGCTGCAGTCCCCCGTCGTCGCCAGCCAGTATACGCATACCCGCAATCCGTCCCTGATGGGTTCTGACGAAGCTGTGTCATCCTTGCTCCATCTCAAAAGGGGCGGCTCCTATACGATACCTCGCATTGCCCGCGAGCTTGACGACTTTCGAATCACAGAAGAACATGAAAGTCTGCTGTTCAGCCAGTTCTTCAACTGCTATCATCCATTCTTACCATTTCTGAATCCAAACCAGACACCAGACCAATACTATCAACAGCACCCGTTACTGTATTGGTCCATCGTTGCGGTTGCGAGCAGGAGGTTTCTGCCCGATCCCACCATCCTCACCAAACTCTCGGGTCCCCTGACAAGATATCTCTGGACAACCATCGGAGAGGTTCCACAGAGCTACTACGTTGTCAAGGCGTTATGTCTGCTCTGCACATGGCCGTTGCCTACCAGCACTACATCATCCGACCCCACGCACATCCTTTGCGGGGTGCTGATGAAGATTGCCACCGGCATCGGACTGCACCGGCCCAACCACATCAACGACTTTTCTCGAGTCGCCGTCGAACTCAACAATGATGGCCTGCACGACCGTATCAAGACTTGGGCAGTGTGCAATATTGTTGCACAGACGATTGGTACAGGGTATGGTCAGCCGGCTTCAACGCTGTACGACTGGACGTTGGCTGTTCGCGGCGGCGAATCAGGACTTTTCTCTTTGGGGCCCGAGCTGGAGGCAAGGCTGCAAATAGAACGCTTCTGCGACAAGGTATCCAAAGAGATGTATAGCAATGCCAGCGACCCCAGAGGTGTCGCGGGCGACGAACACCGCGCCATGTTGATGCGTGTGTATCGTCGCGAGTTCAACGAGCTCCAGGCTTCCATTCTGTCACAGAACCTCTCACCCATCATTAATCTTCACTTGCGGGCAGCAGGTCTTCATCTCCGCCTGGCTGGCTTCTTTGACTCCAGTAAAACACCCGCGTACCTGGACGACCTGATGGCTCTTTGGCGGGCCACCACCAGCTATCTTGACTACATTCTGGAGGGCGATTCGCAATCGCAGTCGCAATGTCCCCAAGAGTATCGGTACCAAGTCCGCGACTCCTATTTCCTTCAGTATGCTACCAACTACATTCAGCAAATGCTGGTCGCAGCCGGGTTCGCTTTGCTCAAACTTATGCGATCCTTCTTCGCTAAACAGATCGACTTTGAGCGGGGCAGAAACCTGTTCCACGGCGCCATTCGAGCCATCAGAACCACCAGCGTGATTCAAAACGACTTGAACTGGCGGTTAGCCGAACTGATGGTGCAGATTTGGAACGGCGCTCGTATCGACGCCATCAGCCCCTCATTCCAGGCCAACGATAACCCAGAGATCGACGACAGCTTGCAGCTAAAAGTCCGGTGCCGCCATAGTATGAGCTTGGTATTTGACTCGATTTGGCATTGGCGAGAAGAGTACCAAGCAAGAGGTCGGGGTACGCTCGATGGTAAGTTTTGATGCTTTTCTTTTGCCTGCTCTTTCTTTTCCTCCCTCCCCTACCGAATCGCTCCAAGCTAAATGTCCTTGGTAGCTCTCAAGCAGCCTACACATCCTGATTCAGCTAATGAATCATCAGCCTCTTCGACTCATCTCGACACCACTTTAGCTCCTCCACCGCACAGCATCCCCGCAAACTTGGGAATCGCAACGTCGAACGGCGCCCTCACGCCCAGCGCAGGCGGTTCCGCCCTCGGTGGTGGCGGTGCCATGCTGGACGGTTTGCCCTATGGCAACGCCACCACCACCTATGATGTCTGGGATCCACAGCACTGGATGCTGGACGGCTTGATCGACTTCAACTACACTTTTGTCCCTCCCATCGATGCTAATTAGTGTGCCGCTCATGGGAAGACCGACACATCGTCAGTTGTTGTAAGAAATACCTAGCTTGCGAAAGCAAGCGCACAGCATGGTTGGTTTTGCCGTCACTTTTGACATCTTTTTTGGGCAGATTGTTTCTTTGAACGAAGTACATGTTTTTTTGTTTTCTTTTCAAAACCTCTGCGCTTCTGTGGTTATTATTTTTTATGAAATACCCCACCACTATATTTTGGCGCACATAGTAATGAAATGGGTAATTTTCTGGTTGGGATCTGGTCAGGTGGTCAGGCAGGTAGTGTTATAACATTGGGTTTTGGTTATGGTCGGAAAAGAAAAGCACGGGTTCAAGTTTGAAAGATGGAAAGGAGTAACCTGTAGAGGGTTGTTCGAAGCGAGAAGGATTGGCGTGAATTCATCATATCAGAGCCAGTTGCACAAGCGGAGCACGAGAAGAATGATACAGCACCTACTCATAGCAAGACCGCCGGTGTGTTTGTTGTGAGCAAGGCTTATATGACTGCATTCAAGAGCCCATTCTAGGAGCACCTTTCCAGGTTTCCAGGTCTCGTTCAAGCACATGCCAGACAGCCTCATGTGTCACAGCAGGGCCGCTCCCGCCTGAGACTCAGCTCTCGGCTCGGTCATGTCTCAGTTCTCCATGACTGGATAGCAGTGATACCTCCAGCCCCTTTCTTCCCCAGGTCTTGCCTCAGGGGGAAGTCGAAGGATTGGCGGAGGTGGTTTGGAGGCATACTTCTAAAACTGCCGTTCCCCTACCAATCTCATTTTAGATCGCCCGCTCTTCTATTATTTTCCTCCTTATTACAAAACGTTCACTGCCCATTCCCTCCCTTTCCATTTTTATCAGTTTGCTTTGATGAGGGAAGATTGCATGATTGGATCACAACAAGTCAATTTCACTATTTTGATCCTCTTTTGCTTCTTGTTTCCCTTTTCAGACTTGAGAGTGGTTTGTTGCTATCTCTGAGGGGCTGAACCGCGCTCGTAATTGCTTGCTACCCGATAACGTAGATTGATCCATCTCGGCAGGCGGTGGTAAGGTAGTTATCATGAACACACACACAGCCACACACTGACCTCTCGGTAAGGTAAATTTGCAACCCTGAAAATCTGCCTCATGATACAGGCCACCACCACCACCACCTACCTCACTGCGCCAGGCCGCGCAATTCAAGCTTCGTACACTTTAACCAGACAGAATGGACGGACAAGACCGCCAACAACCACCGCCCGCCTGCCTGCCCTTGTTGTTCATCCCATGTCTCCGCTCAAGTGTCTCAACAGCGCCGCTTCTCGCGTGGCGACCTCGCCGCCGCCCCAAATCCAAGATAGGGAGGATTCTGGAAGGGTGAACTAACAAGGTTGGTAGCCCACCGCGGTGAAGGCCGGTGAGCTACTTGAGCTAACAAGAGACGGGAGGGCGCATGGCAGACGTTGGGGGGGGGGGGGGGGGAGGGGGATGAGCTAGCTTATTGTGAATGTGTTTGTTTATTCCCGGGTAACAGGATATCATACTTGTTTCGAATGGAATCAAGCCTTGTGCGCTCCAAGCCGTCGTCACCTTTTCATCATGTAGAGATCTTGTGTTCGTATGGCGTGCCGCCCCCAAGATGCTGCAATGACAACGCTGCTGTGTTTAAGCGCCAAGACAGGATGTTAACCTCTGATGGAATATATCTCTTTTCAGAGCAAGAAATCTAACTGGTCGATCTGCTTTTGGGGTTAAAGCAAGCAGGTACAATGCCAGCACTAGGTATTTTGCGTGGGTGAGAAAAAGAACCTCCTCTCTTTCGGCAATGACCGTTGCGGCGGCGCTGGGGGTGCCGCCGGGCGGTTATCGAGAGCTAGAGCTAAAACTGTTTTAGTGTGCATATGTAGTGTAAGTGAGCAGTGGTGAAAAGGGGAGAGGGAGGGAGAGAGAAAAAGTGCTACGCCACACCCTCGCAGGCGTTTTCTTGTGTGTTCTCTCTCCCGTGCCGCTTCTAGAACACGAAAATTGTCTCTGGAAGATGTTGTTGTTGTTGTCTGGCGACCCCACGTTGCATGCATTTTCGTTTGGTCTTACCGCCGGCTCACGGCACGAAGAGGCAGTTGATGTTGTTGATGTCCACATGCTTCATGTATGTAAGGTGCTTTTCTCGCTAGGTAGCCCGGCAGACATCAACAAATGTGATTTTGAGGGTCGCTATTGGACATGGGTATACATGTACCTTACCCACTTAGCCCTGCATTACCCTGTCTCTTGTGCAGTCATATCATACTATACTACCGGAATGGGCTTAAGTGTGTAAATAACAAAAGTGCCAGGAACAAAAGGACCGATCAGCGAATAATACAGCGGCAGCTAGCTACCCTGTGAGCGGGATATGTGAGGGCGTTGTTGTTGGCGAGGCGGTTAGTGTAAGGTATCATCAGTCTACCCATAGACAGGAACAGGAGAGAAGCTAATGAAGTCGAAAAGGGAGATAACCCTCGAAAAGTTCCCCGTTTGTTTTTTCAGGGATTGAATATCAAATTGGTGAGTTCATGCCTCTCCATTGTCGTACCATGAGGTTACCGTAGATATGCACAGTTCCATTTTGTTAGTCTGACAAGAGGGAAGAGTACGTATACCCATGTCTGTTGAACTCTTGTAGGTAAGCACTATCGAGCTGCAATGGTTCGTCGAATCGTATATTCGAGACTAGAGAGTGGATGATGTTGGAAGCTACAGTTTTTGCAACAGAGTAAAAAGTGTAGTAGTTGTTGGGCGCCGGTCACATCGTCGACTTGCTGGAGAGGCAGCTCAACGGTCACCCGCGGGTGCCGATACCACCAGTTGTTCATCATCACCGCTTTATTCCCCGTCAACCACTCACATGATGACAAACTTGCTGCAGATAGGGGACAACGCCATGCCCGTTCGGTAACTCCTAGGGCTGAAACATAAACCTGTGGATGGTCGAAAGCGGCCGCAGAAAAAGCCCGCTTTCGACTCGTCTCGGCTTGCTTCGAAGGATATGTCGGTTTTCGTCCTAGGTTGTAGCATACCTAGTAGCTCCTCGATAGTGAGATTTGCGGTTGAACAATGTTCATACTGTGTGGACTTTGACAGCATGCTTGCCTTCACAAGCAGTCTGAAAGTGAAGTGTAATAAGCTCGATCTGCAGCCAGTCCAGGTGTTGCTTTGTGGTCGACATGATGAAGATCATCTGATCAGCTGATCCTCTACTATGCGGTGCTGTCAGTCGTATTTCGATGGACCATGGCTGGCCGGATTTAAGGGGCCAGACCGGTGAGTGGTCGTAATTACGGTATGGTATCAATGATACGGCTGCTTTGTAAGGGTTCAATGACTGAGTGGTCACGCGTGACGTTACCACCAAGCTACTTCAGAGTCTGGTACAACAGGCGAGGTAAATGATCCTACCGGCGCTGTCTATCCTTCCGACTCCTCCCATCATAGACCCGAGCCCGACCGGTCAGGCGGAAAACTCTCCGGAAGGGAGTGGTGAGTATTCGAAGTGGTTGTTGAGGTTGCCTGATAATCGCTGTGACGAACTTGTGTTGTGTGCGGATAGGTACCCTCCCTTTGGCAGCCTCAGTTCAGTAGTGAGCTGCTTGCCTGTCGATGATGAGTCCCCTGACTGTCGCCTGGAAGTCTGGTTCCAAAAGGCGGCAGTTGCTGCTTCCCAATCACCCAGCTCACAGTTCCGCCGAACCTCCGTCTTTCCCCAGACCCTCACTCCCACACGACAGGTCAGATTCCCCGGCCCCCAGGTTTTCTCTGCTGTACGTGCCTCTGTATAAGGTACAGTCAAGTAACTGGTAATGTGACCTCCCCTTGCCGCGGCTTGTGGCTGCTCTAATGCAGGAGACATGCTTGTTTAGCTTGTTAGGCGCGCTTAAGTTTCTGCAGTCAGAGGATCAAGGTGCTTAGTCTGCTTCATTTCCCATCGAACGGGGCCGCATGGGACGAGTGAGATTCTTGTTTCCTTCGGCGGGGGGGGATGGGGGTGCGCCTGTTGGGAGCAGAAGGGTGTGGAGCGGGCGCTTGTTTTTCTATCCGAAAATGAAAACGGGCAGAGAACCAACAGCATCTTCTCCAACGCCCCCACCACATGACTCTAATCATCCATCAGTTGACGACAACGTGGCGCTAAATCTTGGGTTTATCTGGCTTGACCTGTTTCTTACTTGCTATTTGATGTTTGGACGGAGTGAAGCTGCAGAATCAACCGGCCGTCCACGCTGAGAGAACAGTGCGAATGGACTAGCTCTAGGGACGGTCAAGGAAGCAAGTCGGTAGCGAGTTTCATCTTGATCTTGACGGGTAAACTGCGGATAGGGTTGGATGGCCCTTTCCTCGACGATCGCCCGCGAGTCAGGGAACCAAGAAAGATGCCATGAGGCCACAACCGGCCCGGGGTTACATCCCAGATAGGTTATGTGTGTATCGACTGGGACGGCGGCATGATAGATGCAGAGGGGCCTGCATTGAGTTGATATTGATGCTGGCCGTGACAACGGTGATGCTAAAAGGGGGAAATTGGGACCGTAATGCACATGAAGAAGTCTCATAGGACACTCATGTACACCGAGAAGATCACCATGGACGACAACCATTATTCAGGCCCCCAAGCAGCTTGATCAATGGTGGAGAGGGCATGCAGATACATCGGGGCCTCCAGAATTAGGTATGGTCTCACAAGGACAACTACAGCCCCGTGCTGATATTCGAAGGATTTAGGCTCCTCAGGCACTGGCGGTTCATTCTGGATATGTCCGCCCGAAGGCCGCAGACATGACGGAACGTGGACAGACCAGAGAATGATAACACCTCCGTATGTATCCGCAGTGACGGGAAAGGCTCCAGCCTCCCGACCACGATTACATACGCGTCCTCTGGTGACTATGCCCTTTCTTCTGAATTGTTGATGACTGCATCTGCAATGTGATCCAATCGTCCTGCTTTCTGTCTCCGTATAGCACACGGCAAGACAGGCAGCAGG